CATTTGTAGCTTCCAAAAGCTTTCCTTTCTATTCACTCATTGTCAGCATGTGATATTCTGGGTTTTTGATAGGGATTGTGTCCAGGAAAGGAATGGGGAGGCTGCCCGGGTGCTACCTTGTTTTCTTGCGGTTAAAGCCGACAAAGTGATGTGGAATTATCCATACCATCTGGCAAGCAGACTACACTGCTTCATAAGCTCACATAGGCTCTTACGTGCATGTGAGGAACATTATTCACATCTCCATTCATTACATCATCATTCTGGTCTGTCACTGAGGAATATGGCTATTACTTCTGTCTTATGTACATTTCATAAGCTTGTGTAATCATCCCAGCATCACATCCACTGGGTGGCCATGTTCTGTGGCTAGACAATATGTCCTGCATGCCCCTCAGTGTTATTGAAGATATACAGTCTGGTTGTGACATGTATGACTTATGCATTTTTCTGCTCTTTTCTTACAGAAGTTGACTTCTGAAGAAGCCTTTACCCATGCCAGTGTGAAGATGGCAAGCCAGTCAATGAAAAGTTCACTGTTCACACAGAGTCATCTTAGTCAGCAACAATTGCACATGGTTTTTACATCAAGCTTGGATGAAAATGGTGGACAGAGACATTCTTCTCTAAGTGATAGCCAGGATTTTGAAAATGAAAAAGCAGCTGAAAAGAAGATCAAGCTTGATCCTGGAAAATTAGGTATCTTAATTCGCTTAGATGGGTCTGCATTTTAGAAGCTTATATTTGGTTTATGATTCATTAACCACATTACAGCCCACATGAATTGGGCTGACGCCTTTTAAACTTGGACATTTTTTTAAAGAAAAGTCACTTGCTGATAGGTATAGTCCTGGGCTGGAGCCATCCTTTCATATATCAAAGTTAAAGGACATATGTTAGGTCCATGCTGAAAATGTGCCTTTTAATGAATGTTTAGTTACCTATGTGACATGTTTGATTGCATAAGGTACATATTTAAGCTATCCCTGTGAATGTGCACTATGTGTAAGGGATTTCCTGGGAGGGTGCTAACACTGGCTTGCCATAACATTTCTGTGACATTGCTTTTCTGTTACATAGCTGATGACATGACAGCATGAGTTGTGCAGCAGTAATTTCCATCATTTTCATCACTAGTTCATCTGTTTGTTTGTCAAGTGTGTTCAGTTCATCTATTGTATGATGTATGACTGGATCAGATGTGGTTTATGGTGACACCCTCTTTTATGTTGTGCTACTAATGTATGCCAGGGCTTTGCCTGGTTACAAAAGACAGATGTGTGAAAAGTTGGAGCACAAGAATGTGAACCAATACCACAAATGCAGATCTGTTTAATCTACCCTGCCACATCCTGTGCATCATAGTGGGTAGGTTTGTACAAATGTCACTTATGATGTGGTGAGAAGATACACCCAAGATGCTGGTAGGTGGGTTTGGGAATATGTGCTAATGGAAATCTCCCCTCCCCATCTTTCACCACATCTTTGCACCTGTCAACAATGCCTGTGGCATCCTTTGCAACCCACCTCCAATCATCCTCCTGGTCCAAGATTGCTCGGCGCCTCTCATGGCGGCAGCCCGTCACTAGCTGCCTCTTGGGCGCCGCAGCGGCTGGGCCAGTGCCGGCCGAGCTCTGTCGTTCGTGGCCGCCGCAGACTACAGTCCGCCTCTCAGGCCGGCTGGGGCTGTCTGGTGGACAGCCGCTGTCTGTGGCCGCCGCAGACCACAGTCCGTCCCTGGGGCCGGCCGGGGCCCTCTGGTGGACAGGCGCTGTCTGTGGCCGCCGCAGACCACAGTCCGTCCCTGGGGCCGGCCGGGGCCCTCTGGTGGACAGCCGCTGTCTGTGGCCGCCGCAGACCACAGTCCGTCCCTGGGGCCGGCCGGGGCCCTCTGGTGGACAGCCGCTGTCTGTGGCCGCCGCAGACCACAGTCGGCCTCTCGGGCCGGCCGGAGCCCGCGGCGGACCGTCCTCTGTGAGGCACGCTCAGGTGGCGGCCCGTGTCGCGGACGGAGCGCCGGTGCTTGCGGGCGTGCGGGCGTGCGTGCGTGCCGCGACGCCGGGGCGGGCCGGTTAGTGACGAGTCGACCTCAGTTTGAGTCGATTTGAGTCGACTCGACATGTTTCTGCCCTGTGCCCACAGCCAGCGAGAGGCGCGCGAGGCACCAGGCGGCCGCCCTGCTCGACTCGCAGAACCTTGTGGCCCGGCTGCAGGCCAAACTGCAGGTGGGACGCCCCGTCGGACTGGTAGTGAGGACAGCAGTATTTGTGATATGGTTAGATGGACACAGTAATTGTGGTATACATCTGGTGGCAATGGGGATATACGGATGTAATGCGGATGGGATAACGGTAGCATCACTTGCAATTGGTATAATGTAGCTATGGATATTGCTCGATGCTTACCATGCCAATGCTAATTGCATTGACTTTGGTAGCCATGACAATGAATATGTAGAACTGTAGAAGCAATTTGGATAGGCACATACAGTTCCTTGTCATGTAATGATGTGACTGGGGTAGTGTGTAAATGCTTCCGTCACACCCTGCACTGTGGTTGTGATAGATGAGAATTGCCTACCCATCTGCCCTGCTGTTCAACTGCTCAAACTGCCCATCTGCTCAGTTGCTCAAGGGGCGTCCTCGTCCTCAGCTCCTCTCCGACTCCGAGGCTTGGGCGTGCGCCGATCCGTGCCTCGCCGGCTGGCTGTCTCAGTCCCCCCTCCCCCCTCCTCTCAGTCCGTCCCCCCCCCCCCCCCTCTCCTTCCGCAACGGTAGCGTGCGAGTGGGGCCTGGTCTTGCGTCTAACTGGTCGTCCGTGCTGTGCCGTCTCATGCCGTGCCGTACCGCGCCATGCCGTGCGCCGACCGTGCCGTGTGCTGACCATGCCGCGCGCCGGCCGTGCCGTGCCTTGCCACCTTATGCCGCGCTGTGCGCTGACCGCGGCGTGCCGTGCCGTGCCGTGTGCTGACCGTGTCGTGCGCCGACCGTGCCGTGCCGTGCCGCCTTATGCCTTGCCGTTCGTTGACCGCGCCCCGCCCCGGCGCCGGCAGTCCGCCGAGGCGCGCGACCGCGAGGCTCGCTTGCTGATGGAGACGGAGCGGGGCGAGCTGCGACGCCGGACGGAGCGCGCCGAGGAGCAGGTGAGGGCCCGCCGCCGCGCTCGCTACCGCCCGGGGACGCTCCGCCCGCCGCCCGAGGATCGGCCGGCCGGTGACGGAGGGCGGGGCCAGAGGAGCGTACGGACGCGTGCAGTGAGCGTGTCCGAGCGTGAGTCGTGACAGCGTCTGGATGGGTAACATGGAAGCGTCCCGACAAGTGTCAAGCGGTCGTCTGGACAGGTGTCATGTGGGGTTTTGGGCAGATCATGGGATGTGTGAGATCAATATTCGGCGTGACTGCACAAGTGTCAGGGAATAGTTCGGATTGTGATGGTGCAGCACAGGCGGGCAGGATGAGAGGATGCACATGGTGTGATGGTAGAGTACAGGGCGGTGTAATGGGAGGGCTCAGACGGCTATTGTAGGGGAGCACTTGCGTGGCCGTTGGCAGCTTCGCGGCAGCTTTGACCGCGTGCTGCCATGTGCTGTCATATGCCGCACGCCATGTGAAAGGGGGGGGGGGGGAAGAAGGGCGTCATGTGTCCGCGCGTGGAATCAACTGACGTGCGCGCGCCGCTGGTCAGAGCGCCGAGCTGAGGGCCGAGGTGGAGCGGCAGCGGGCTGATCGCGACCGGCTGGAGTCAGAGCTGGCCGAGCTGCGCTCGCGGTTGCGCTCGTGCCAGGTCAGCTGTGACCAGGAAAAGTTGGCCGCCCAGCAGCGCGCCGACCGCGCCGCGCACCGGCTCTCAGAGGTCAGTGGTCACAGGAGCGTGGCTCTCAGAGGTCAGTGGTCACAGGTGTGGGGCTCTCAGAGGTCAGTGGTCACAGGAGCGTGGCTCTCAGAGGTCAGTAGTCACAGATGTGGGGCTTTCAGAGGTTGGTGGTCACATCTCCGGGCTCTCAGAAGCCATTGGTCCCTGGTACGGTACTCTCAGAGGTCAGTGATCCTTGGTGCGGGGCTCTCAGGGGTCGGTGGTCTGTGGAGTGGTCACAGGAGCGTGGCTCTCAGAGGTCAGTAGTCACAGATGTGGGGCTTTCAGAGGTTGCTGGTCACATCTCCGGGCTCTCAGAAGTCATTGGTCCCTGGTGCGGTACTCTCAGAGGTCAGTGATCCTTGGTGCGGGGCTCTCAGGGGTCGGTGGTCACTGGTGCGGGGCTCTTGGAGGTCAGTGGTCACAGTTATGGGGCTCTCAGAGGCCGGTGGTCATAGGCGCGTGGCTCTCAGAGGTCAGTGGTCACAGGTGCGGGTCTCTCAGAGATCGCTGGTCTCTGGTGAGGGTCTCAGAGGTCAGTGATCACAGGTGCGGGGCTCTCAGAGGTCACTGGTCACAGTTGTGGGGCTCTCAGAGGTCGATAGTCCCCGGTACGGTACTCTCAGAGGTTGCTGGGCGGCCGCCGTGCGGGCCGATGAGGCGGGCGGCGGCTGCTGACGCCCGGCTGGCGTCCGGGTCGGTCCCCCGCCGTCCCTCCGTCTGACGGAGTCACCCGTGGTCGGATGGCGGCGGAGACGCGGTGCCTCGCGTCGCCCGCCAGCAGGGACAGCGGACGCCCGGCTCGCCGTCCGGCAGCGGTCCCTGGCTCCCGCCGGGGTCAGCACTGGACGCCGCGAGCCCCGGTGTGCGGCGCTGCCGGGCTGAGAGCCGGTGCGTGGTCAGGACAGGAGCCGTGCGGCTGGCGCAGGCGCTCGTCAGGGAGCAGTCCCGACCCCAAACCGGCGCTGTGAGGGTGTCCCCTGGCGCGTGCGACCCGCTCCGCTGTCCCGCTACCCCGCGGGCGGCCCTCCGCTGTCGTGACGCGCGCCGCCCTCAGCCGTGCTCTGGCCGGACAGGAGCTGGCGGAGTCGCGCCGGGAGCTGGCGGCGGCGGCCGGCCGGCTGCTGGAGGCGGAGACGGCCCGCCAGGCGGCGCTGGACAGCCTGCAGGAGGAGCGCGACCGACGCGAGGCCCGGCCGGCCTCCGACGGCGGCCTGGAGGAGGACCGGCTGCGACTGCAGCTGCACACCGCCCAGCTGCGGGTCAAGGTCAGTCACCGGCCGACTGCGGGTCAAGGTCAGTCACTGCCCGGCTGAAGGCCAAGGTTAGTCACTTTCCAGTTGCGGGCCAAAGTCAGTCACTGTCCAGTTGCGGGCCAAAGTCAGTTGCCGTCCAGCTGCGGCTCAAGGTCACTCACTATCCAGCTTCGAGTCAGGGTCAGTCACTGGCTGCCGTGGGGTCAAGGTCAGTTAGTGAGCCGTTGTGGCTCGGGGTCAGTCATTGACCGGCTGCGGATCAAGGTCGGTCACCCCGAACTTAGTAGGAAAGGTCAGTGCTATTCGCAGATTGTTGTCAAGCCATAATGAGCGTCTGATCCCGCTGATAACCCTCGACCTGTCGCGTAACGGTCACCATTAGCCCATTACGAGGAGGTAGACTCGCGTGGATCCCGTGGTCTGCTCGGTTTGTGCTCTGTACCCGCAGCCATTCACATCCCTAAATTCACTCATCTGTCGAGTGAGCGGCCACTCCCCGGGCTCAGACGCGCTCCGCGTGCAGCCCTGAGGCTCTCACTTCACCTTAGAGATGCTCCGCGTGCCACGCTGAGGCTCTCACTACACCTCAGACGGGCTCCGCGTGCAGCGCTGAGGCTCTCACTACACCTTAGACGGGCTCCACGTGCAGCGCTGAGGCTCTCACTACACCTCAGACGGGCTCCACGTGCAGCGCTGAGGCTCTCACTACACCTTAGACGGGCTCCACGTGCAGCGCTGAGGCTCTCACTACACCTCAGACGGGCTCCACGTGCCGCTCTGAGGCTCTCGCTACACCTCAGACGTGCTCCGCGGGCAGCGCTGAGGCTCTCACTACACCTCAGAGGGGCTCCTCGTGCCACTCTGAGGCTCTCACTACACCTCAGAGGGGCTCCGCGTGCAGCGCTGAGGCTCTCACTACACCTCAGACGGGCTCCGCGCGTCGCGCTGAGCTTCTCACTACACCTCAGACGGGCTCCTCGTGCCGCGCTGAGGGTCTCGCTACACCTTCAGAGATGCTCCGCGTGCCGCGCTGAGGCCCTCACTACACCTCAGACGGGCTCCACTTGCAGCGCTGAGGCCCTCACTGCATCACAGACGCTCGGCCCCGTGTTAGATATGGAGCCGATCGAGGCGACAGGCTGGGGAGGCGCGTCTGAGAGCCGAGAGGCATCACGCCCGTCGATGACGCCGACGCCGCTGTCCCTGCTCCCAGGAGCTGGAGAACACCATCGCCTCCAACGAGGAGAACGCCAAGCTGGGCACGCTGATGAGGGAGCGGCTGGCGCAGTTCCCGCAGCTGGAGGCGCAGAACCGAGCCATGAGCGCCGAACTCAAGTCGTTGAGGTCAGCTGGGTGCCGCTTGGGGATCGGGTCAAACCTGGCCGTCTCCCGTCTCCCCGCTCTCTTGTATCGTCTGCCCCTCCGTCTGTCCTTCCTCTCTCGCTTCGCCCGTGCCTTCCCCAGTCCGTCCCTCTGTCGTACCCCATTCATCCCTCTGGTTCAGTCCGTACCTCCCCTGCTCCTCCCCCTGTCTCTCATCCTGTCTCTCATCATCACCCCATCCTCTCCCTGTTTCCGCCTGTCCCTCCCCTGTCCCACCTCATTCTTCCCCATTTTTTCGTCTGTCCATTCCCCTGTCCCTCCCACAGTCCCTCCCCGTGTCTCATTCTGTCCCTTGCTCCATCCATCCCCCTCTTTTCGTCTGTCCTCCCCTGTCCCTCACTCTGCCTCTCGCCCTGGCCCTCCCGTCGTCCCTGCCCCTGTGTCCCTCACCCCTGTCCCTCACCTCCTTGGTCAGAGCTGCGGCGTCGCCGTGGTTGTCTTTCACCCCCGTGGACCGAACCGGGCCAGGCCGGGACAGGAACAATGTATCGCGCTGTTCTATGGATCGACCCTTTTGATACATAAGTGCGCTGTGGTCAGTCAGAGCCGGGTGCAAATAAGCAGGGTAGTTGACGTACCCTAAAACGACGAATATATACATGTAGAAGTATGCCAGGTGCGACAGAGGAGTGGCGCTCAATAGATAGCGCTCCCCGCCGCCGGCGTAGGGTGTGGACTATATGGACCATGGACAGACTATATCCGACGCCACCGGCGTGGGGTATGAACTACATGGACCATGGGCCGACTATACCCCACGCCGGTGGCGTGGGGTATGAACTGGCTGTATGAACCCTCACCGCCGGCGTGGGGTATGGACTATATGGACCGTGGACCGACTATACCTCACGCCGTCGGCGGGGTATGCGTGGTCTACGCCCGGAGCCGCGGAAGCCACGACTCATGTGCCGCTGGCGACCAGCCGTCGGCGCCGTCAGCCCACTTACGGCGCGCTGTTGTCTCGCACGCGCTCCGACTCGGCGGCCAGTGCGCCGAGGGCGCGCCCGAGCTCTCGGTGAGCCGCGTGCTGGCCGGGGGAGCTGACGGGGCGGGTCGCGCGCGGCAGGCACATGGTCGACCGGACGTTGGTGCTGGAGGAGCAGCTGGCGGTGCTGCAGCCCAAGGTGGAGAGGTTCGATCAGCTGCAGGCTGAGCTGGCCACCGCCCAGGCAGAGGTGAGGCGAGCAGCTGGTGAGCCGGTCCCCAGGCGTCAGTACTTGTGGCCGCGACGGTGGTCGTCTGTGGCTAAGTCTGAAGTGACCCGCGCCCATATCAGGTCACTCCTGTCCGTGTGTGAAGTACCCTACGTCCATGTCGAGCTATGCGTGCCCTTGAAGCCACATGTGCCCGAGGCATGTCTGCAGTCTCTTGAACGTTGGCGTGTGCTGGTGTCTACAGTCCCCGTTCGTCTGTGTGTGTGCTGGTGTCTACAGTCCCCGTTTGTCTGTGTGTGTACCGGTGTTTACATCTCCCCCCCCCCCCCCCGTACGTCTGTGTGTGCCGGTGTCCACATTCCCCCCGTGCGTCTGCGTGTGCCGGCATCTATACTCCCCCCTTGCGTCTGTGTGTGCGTGCCGGCGTCTAGTCCCCGTACGTCTGCGTGTGCCTGTGTCTACAGTCCGTCTAGTCCCCATACGTCTGTTTGCCAGCGTCGACAGTCCCCGTACGTCTGTGTGTGCCGGCGTCTAGTCTCCGTACGTCTGTGTGTGCCGGCGTCTATAGTCTCCGTGCATATGTGTGCGCCGGTGTCCACAGTCCCCGTGTGTCTGTGTGTGCCGGCGTCTAGTCTCCGTACGTCCGTGTGCGCCGGTGTCCACAGTCCCCGTGCGTCTGTGTGTGCCGGCGTCTACAGTCTCCGTACGTCTGTGTGTGCCGGTGGCTACAGTTCTCGTACATCTATGTGCGCCGGTGTCCACAGTCCCTGTGCGTCTGTGTGCCGGTGTGTACAGTCCCCGTACGCCTCTCCGCAGAGCACCGAGGCGCGGCAGCAGGTGGCAGACTGGCAGCGGGCGGCCGGCTCTGACGTCACCTCGGCGGACCAGCTGGGCCGCGTGATGGCCGAGCTGCGCCAGAGCCAGCTGCTGCTGGAGGAGAGCCGCGGCGCCGCGCGTGCCGAGTGAGTCTCACCAGCCGCCGCGGACGGAGCGGCGCCCCCCCCCCCCCTTGTCGCCGATTTTCGGCGGTGCTTCCCCGTGCCTGATGCACGGTCGCCCTTGCTGTGGCGTGGCTTGCTCGTAGTCGTTACCGCGTAGTCTCAGGGGCCAGTTTTTACTATCTGCAATTGCCAAGCCAGCGTAGCTCGGCTGGTGCCTCGGCTCAGCATCATGAATGGTCTCATTGTCTTGTAGGACTGAGCGTTGTTTGTTAAAGATTACTTTTCTCTTGCGAGTACGCGGAGTGATAAGATAACCAACTGATAATAGACGTGCTTAATGTTTGGGGGCCATTCAAAGCGTTATGTCTCATCTCTCCCAGCAAAATAAGTGCAAGGCTGGACCGTTCCGTGGGCTATAAAGCGTCCATTCAGTGTGCATTCCTGGCGTCACTGCCGACGCCGATGGTGTCGGCCTTGGCCAGCGCCGGGTGATCTTGCTGGTGACGTGTGTCCGGCCGTGGCCAGGCTGTCGGCGGCCGAGGCGCGCAGCAGCAACCTGCAATCGCAGCTGGAGAGGCTCAAGGCCGAGCAGGCCGAGCACAACCGCTCGGCGCTGGAGGGCCAGGTGCAGCTGCGCAAGCTGCAGCGCAAGCTCACGCTCGTCACCATGGTAACCGCCGCCGCTGTCGCTGTGCGCGGCGGTTGACACGTCACGTTCGTCGCCACCGTTCCGTCTCGCGCGGCGCTGCATGTACCACCTCATTGGCGCACGACTTCCATTTCACCTCTGACGCCGTCCAGCCACCGACACAGGAATATGCAAGCTTATCCCGTACAATGATTGCATGGTGCTTCTCGTTTCGGGTTGAAGTTGACACAATTGCAGTGACATTTTATAACGTATTATGATTGCATTGCGTTTTTATCTCGAACCGGGCATGGCGCCCGGGTGTCGTTTCATCACGCACTGAACAACTTGAGCGCGAGACCGCGCGCATAGAGCTAGGCACCTCCACGCACCAGCAGCCAGCCCACCCGGGCGCCGTCAGCCAGCCGCCGACCGTGCGCGCGCGCCGTCCGCCAGGAGCGCGACAGCTGCAAGCGCGTGCTGGACGCGTACGAGTCGGAGACGACCGAGTCGCTGACGGCCATCGAGCGGCAGCGCGGCGGCGACCTGGAGCGCCAGCTGGACACGTACCGGCAGCAGGTGGACGCCCTGGAGCGGCAGCTGCAGGAGGCCGCCAGTAGCGGCCGGGTGAGTGCCGATCCCGGCCGGGCGCCGAGCCGCGCTCGGGGCGCCGAGCCGCGCTCAGGGCGCCGAGCCGCGCTCGGGGCGCCGAGCCGCGCTCGGGGCGGCCTGCCAGTGGTGACTGCCAGCTGTCAGATCCGCCGCAGTTTTATGTGCGAGACATTCGTAGTTTTGGGTCAGATTTTCGCGCAAGATCGGGGAGGTGTGGCTGGCTTGGTGCGTGAAAGGCCAGTAGAAGTAGGTAATGCAAAAGGCGATTTGTATTTTTTAGGAATGTAATGGCAAGGTGTGTTGTTACTTCTGTATCCCATGAGCGGTTTCACGGTCTAAAATGTGCTAACCTGACCCGCCGCAAACATGTTTGGCCTGGCTTTCCACCTCGGACCTGCATCTGGCTTCCATGAGACCTGCAACCCGTATCTGCCCTCTCATATGACCCCTGACCTGCCCTCTGGCCTCACGCGACCTCTTCCTCTTCTCCGGCTGGTGTGTGGCTTCTGACTTGCTCTTGGGACAGACCTGACCCCTGGCCCTTTTCGGCCCGCCGCTTGACCTCTGACCCGCCCTCCGCCCGCGCCGTCAGCTGGTGTTCGGCTCGGCCGACTCGGAGGCGCTGGCGCAGCTCTCGGCGGCGCGGGCCGAGCTGGAGCGGCTGCAGGAGCGCCTGGCTGCGCTGCAGCAGGAGAAGGAGGGCCTCGAGGCGCAGCTGGAGGAGCGCGCGCTGCGCGGCGACTACAACCCGGCCACGACGCGCGTGCTGGCGCTGAGGTGGGGTGGCGCTGGTCGGCGGCGGCGCTGGGCGGCGGCGGCGCCAGCCGGGGGACTGGCCGGGACGAAGAGACAGCATGGCCGGGTGGGGTCGGGAGCGGCGCGAGCCGGTGCCGCTTGTCCAGGACGAGTCGTGGTCGCTGTACGTTTGTGTTCAGGGCGGCTGGGAATGTTGCGACGCGAGCTGTTGTGAGGTGTCCCTTGTTTCGGGGCGTGGTTTGTATGACACCCAGTCACCCAGGCGGCAATGCCATGTGGGACTCACCCTCGACCGGCCAAGTTCCGAGTCGAACGGAGGGTGTGGTGACCCGGTCTTGACTGGAAAGGGGAGGGTCTCGCCTTGTTATCGTTAGACGGCCCCAGGTAGAACCGTGCACCTGTAGCGGCCATGCCGTGACCGCAGAGCGAGCCCTGGCCCCACGGTGACCCGCCTGACCTGGCGGCAGGGACAACCCGGCGGCGGCAGCGGGCTCGCAGCGCTCCGGCCAGTTGGAGCGGCTGCAGCGCGAGAATGCCGAGCTTCGCGGCCGGCTGGCCGACGGTGGCGCCGCCGCCGGCCAGCTCGCCAACCAGGAGGCGACCACTCAGATCAGGGGTGAGCGGGTCGCCTCCAGCCGAGGCCGGCGCTGGCGCGTCGCTCGGCCAGGCGCGGCTTCGGAGGAAGCGCACGGGCGGTGGCGGTCCATCCCGCAGCGGGGTGCGGACGGCGCGCGCGGCGGGGTGATCGTGGGGTCTGTCAGTAGTCCGACTGTCAGGAAATAGCCGTGAAGTGTGGACACCGATTGCCCTGAGTGTTGGAAGATGTTGCGATGTGTTGGAACCGATTCTCAGGCTCATGTTCCGCAACGAAACTAGATGCGACAAAACTGACGCAAAGGTGGTGGAAGTAGTCATTGTGAAATCAGCACTGCCTCAGTTGCTTTACGCTCATGCCGGGCTATCCGCCTTGTTCGGGGCGGCATCGATATCAAAACACCAAATGTGGATAACTTTTAAGGATCTTCATTTTCCACGGTCGCTTGACATAACATCGTCCTGGCTTCGGAATGTTTAAGCCAGATTGGGATCGCGCTAAACTGACCCTGGGCTGACTGCTGACCATCTCTGCCTCCCACTGAGTTCCATTTGAGACTGCCGACACGCGAACCCCGCCCTAGGCTGACCCCTGCCCGGCCGTCCGCAGCGCTGCGCAGTCAGCTCCGCGCCTCTGAGCTGCGCATGCGCCGCCTGAAGGACGTGTTCGGCCGCAGCACGCAGGAGTACCGCCAGGCTGTGTGCCAGCTGACCGGCTACAAGATCAACGCCGACGGGCAGCAGCTGAAGCTGCGCAGCGTGTACGCGCCCAACCACGACCAGACCCTGCTCTTCAACGTGAGCGCGCGCCGCAACCGCTGCCGGCGGGCCCGCGGAGAGCGGCCGCCACGGGCTGCCGGTCGGCCTCGGTTGGCTCCGGCGGGCGGCAGGCGTTGGGGAGATGGCGCCACCGTAGCCTTAAAGCAGAGGATGTGAAAGCTGCTGTGCTTGCCTCCGTTGTCTGCGGCTGCGAGGTATGAGCAACAAGGGCGTTCACGTTACACTCAGCTTTGGGCGTGCTGCGTTCAGTGGTGTGTGTTTCGAACCCGCTGATCCAGACCACGCAGTCATGGCGAGGGGGATGTTCGGAGAATGTACGTCGTACTGCGTTATGATGCCTGCCACCGATCAAAGCCAGCCGGCTGTGTGGTCGTGCCCAGCTGACTGCCGTTGTCAGCTGTCCTGTGCCGGCGTGCTCAGCTGATTGCCGTCGTCAGCTGTCCTGTGCCGGCGTGCTCAGCTGATTGCCGTCGTCAGCTGTCCTGTGCCGGCGTGCTCAGCTGACTGCCGTTGTCAGCTGTCTGCCGTCAGTATGCTCACCTGGCGGTCGTTTTTCTTGCCCCGACAGCGAGACGCGGGAGACAGTCTGCAGCTGCTGGAGACGGACTTCTCGGCGGCGCTGTCCGACCTGGTGGAGGAGCACCTGTACCGGCAGGACTCGATGCCCGGCTTCCTGGCGGCGCTCACGCTGCGCCTGCTCCGGGAGGGTCCGCCCGCCCCCGCCCCCGCCCGCGCCGCCGCCCCCGCCTCCGCCGCCGCCGCAGACGACGACAGTGAGCCGGAGATAGTGGAGCTAGACTGAGGGGCGTGCTGCAGCTGCGGGGCTCACCAGGCGGCGTGCCGGGGCCTCTTCTCTCAACGGGCTGTGGTGGTGTGGCCGCGTTCAGCCCTGCATTGCGTCGCATGACAGCGGCGCGCCGGCCAGCCGATGGCAGAAGTCTGGATCGTGTTGTGTCCTGATCAACTCCATGCGTTTTTGATATTCAGCGGTGTTGTGCAGAAATAAAGGACGCAGTAAAGAAGAAGTTCGCTGCAGTTTGTTCTGTTGCACTGAAGTCATTACTGTAAAAGCAAGTGCCAGTAACTACGGACCTTGTTGGACGAGTTGACCTGAACCGCTATCGTGAAACATTAACACTGAAAACTTGATGTTTTAGGCACAGTGCGCTGCGCTGTTTTCGCTCGGAAAAGGCTTGGGCAGGCAAATGCGACGCCTTACGCGAAAGCATGCTCATAATTTTGTGGAGGTTCTCTGGTTGTTTTATCTAAACAGAGCGTTGCGCATACACGTGCGCTGCCCAAATGACCGTACCTGATGCAGGCGTCAAACCATTGGTCATCATTTTGAGGGAAGAGCCCTGAAGATCAGATCGATAACTTTTTCGAGAACGAGAAATTTGATACGCTGTGCCAAGGCCTGCCAGAGAAATATGTCGAGATCGGGTGGTAACCGACGGCTTTCTCCGCCGACTGCGGCATTGAGCCAAATCTGAATGCGGGCAATCAACTAACACAAGGTTTGGCGGCACAGCGCTACTGCCATCGTATTTTAAGCAGGTGAAGCATCGCTCCAGCCGGCCTATGGTGAAAGCTACGCGCCGTACATTTTGGACAGAATTTTGTCCGCCCTCATTGTACGCCAAGCTTCGACATGGCTGGTTTTCTCATGCAATGCATCGCCGGCGAATTCTGTCTGACTCTCGCCGACCGCGTTATATTTGGTCTTTAAGACCCTCTCGAAATCGTAGCACCTCGATTACCTCGCGACCGTTGAATATTATTTATGAAGAGCGCGGAGCTGTCGGGATCCGACTTGGACATGCACAACTACGACGCAGCTGGCCACCTACCACCGCCAAAATTAGCCCGCAGCAACAGGCTGGCAAAACTACAGGACGCGCGCGGGCTTCATACTTAGACTAGGCTTAAAGACTAGGCTCGCGGTACTTTCCGAGGTCGTGATTCCGAAATGACGTGAAATGACGTTGTGCGCAGGTGCAATCAATCTCTTCCCCAAGGAACCTGGCCTTCAGACGAATGATTAGTGCAGATGGTATATTACAGACGGAGCACGGGTGCCGCTGGCTCGCAGCCGGCGCCGCGCGGCGACTCGGCCCGCCGCCCGCTCCGGCCGGCCCCACAACACACGGTCAGCGGGTAAAACTACGCGGAGACGTCGCGCCGTCCACAGGCGCTTCATCTCCCAGCACGCCAACAGCCCGGTGCGCGCACGGTGCCGCCTCGGTTCAAAGCACGCAAACGTCGTCCTGTTGAAAGTGCTCTCGCCACCGTGCCGATACGACGTAGTCAGCGCCGCGCCCTCACGTTAGGGCGGCGCCTCCCGCGGCGTGGCGCCGCTCGACGCCGCGCCTCATCTCTCGAGCGGCGGTGCTGCCCGCCGCTCGCCGAGCGCGAGCTGCCGTCGAGGGTGTCCGACTGTCGTCAGTGGGACCGGCGATCCTCTCCCGCCACCCACCGTGACCCCGCTCGGCAGTCTGTCGGCTGCACCGTGACCTCCACACTCAAACACACCTGGCGGTGGGGGCAGACCGCCTGCCGGCCCGCCGGCCCGCCGGCCGGCCGGCCGGCCGGCCGACCCCGGCGCGGGCTCACCACAATACCGCACTCGGCAACAAAACCAGAGCCCGCTCGCCCCCGCCCCTGTACAGTGCACACGGCGGCGTCAGAACATTACAAACGTACAAAAATACACTTCAGAGGCTGCGGGGCACCGCACCGCCGGCGCCATCTCTTGCCAGACGGACGAACGACAGCCTGCAGGCGGGCCGCCGCGCGGTCAGAAGTACTGCCACTTGCCCAGCACTATGTCCTTGATGGCGCTGACGTACTGGGCGGGCACCCAGTACACCCAGTACCGCGACGCCTCGGTCGGACCCAGCTGCACACCCTGTGGGATGGCGCAGCGTCAGCACATGACGAACCCCGACCTGACCTGACCTGACCTGACCCAAGGCCGCCACGGGGTCCCGCAGTCACACCCGTCGCACAGAGCGGACGCGCAGCGTGATCCCACGGCCGAGGCCGGCTCACAGACGCATGAAACGTGAAAAAACCGTTCGGCCACAGTCGTCCGCCGCAATGGACCGGCTCCGTATGGCGACCGTATCGCCGGTGAGGCCGTAAGACACGGCCTTCGAGGTACACCACGCTCAGCACCGACACAGAAGCCCAAATCCAATACCGACGTAAAGCCGTGCAATAAAAAAAGTCACAGCAGCACACCGCAAACGGTCTTAGAACGGCACACACAGCTCACAAGCGGTCAATGTCCCCGGCAAGAGCCGACGCCGTTACCGCTACGCCGGCACGAGCGGTATACTGGAGCGAAGGCCCGGGGGGCACCGGGCCCTCCCTCCTCCCTTTGGCTATTGCGCGTGCTCATCGTCAGCGTCCGGGCCGGACAGTCCCCGTTTTGCCGTCAATGGCACGCAGCAGCACGGCAGCAGGCCTCTCTACTGTACGCAGTCTCACCACCGCGACCAAAACAACGCGACGCTTTCGCCGCGGTCATCTTCGGCGGTATGTGCCCCGGGCTACCTTTGTACTTCCCATGCCTCAGCGGCCGTGACCCTAGTCTTACCGTGCTCACCATGTGTGTACCCATGCATCACTCACCACAGCATGACGATCCCACCACCATGCTCACCATAGCTCATCACACCATGTCAGTGCACCTGCTCTGCTCAGACACAGCGCTCCAGCCGCGCTCACAATTACGTGACAGCACCCCCGTCACGCTCATCGTATATGATAGTGCTTCTCTCGTGCTCACCACGCTACATCAGTGCTGCCACCGAGCTCCTTATGACACGGCAGTGCGCTGACACCACTTACCATGGCACGGCACTGGGTGACACCGCATGACACCGATAGTGCAGTGGTTGAGCCGCGTGTCTGGAAACCCAGCGACACGAAGGTCGAATCCCGACGTAGTCCCTTCCCCTTCCCCCCCCCCCCCCCTCGCTTTCTCAGGGTGAGAGGCAGGTGACACCACAAACTGGCCTCACCGGCATCGTGCATCGTAAATCCCCACTGACGCAGCAGCGCCCCTGCCCTGCTCACTACGACGGGCGGAGCTGCTGCCCCGCTCACCACGCCGCAGCAGAGCGCGCAGCCTGCTCACCACCGCGCTGCGATGCCACCGCCGCGCTCACCATGATGTGGTAGTCCTCGTGGTCGACGATGGGTTCCGACACGATGGCCTTGACGCTGGACATGGAGACCTTCTCGGTGCGCTCCTTGGTGCCGATCCACAGCTGGTCCGACTCCAGCTTGAAGGTCAGCCGCACCTTGCCGCCGGTGCGGTTCAGCATGCCGGACAGCGGCGTCGGCGGCAGCGGCTCCTGGGGACCACGTCGGTGATGATGATGACTGGCGTTTTAGAACGCGCCGACTACGAGGGTCATTTTGGGCCCCAGCGCGCGGCCGTCTGAAAGACAAACTCAATACGCCTCAGTTGTTTGTTATTTAGGATTCAGGGCGTGTTATTTGGGATTCAGGGAGCGTCGACAGCCGCGGTCATTTCGCACTCCACACCTCAGTTGGTGGACAGCCTCCTCCTCAGTATGCGGGGATCTTGAAGTTGAGTTGGGAGTGGCTGTCAAGCTCCGTGAAAAGGTGATCTGATCACGTCCACTGACCAGGACGTGGAGAAGATGAAACGACCATACCGGAAGCCGAGCAGAGAGAACAGGGCCCAGCATTCCGTCCAAATGCCGCCCTCAGGTGTAGCCTAGCTGGGTTTTTTTTTTGGGGGGGGGAGGCGAGCCACCACGCAAAGCGCCGAAACGCGAAAGAGACCGAAAAGTTTTATGACGGGTCGACACCAGGTGGCTCTCTGTCAGGCAGCTGGGAAAGGGGGAGGGTATGACGGCAAATGACATAGAAAATCTGCAGGTCTTTTCCCTTAGATCTGCTCGCCGTTCGTCATCATCGCTTCATCTTGCCTCCATCCACGCCACTCCGGCATGACCGCAACACAGATCTCCACGCATTCGAGAACATCAGGCCAGAACGCCAGGCTCTAACAGTTATCAGACTCGCCCCCCCCCCCCCCCCCCCCCCCCCCTCCTCCCGACTGCGGTCGACTGGGACCGACAGGCGGGCAAACTGGGGCCCCAGTACAGCCGACCACCTCCGCCCACTCACGTTGATGTTCCTGTTGCCGGGCATGACGTCGTCCGGCTTGCCCTTGTCCAGGATCTTCTTGTGCTGCTTCATTTCGCACAGCTTCTCTTTGTCCGGCTCCTCGGCCTTCGCTTCCTCTTTAGAACTCTGCAACACCAGCGCTGCTTCAACAACGGGACACTGAGAGGCGACAAAGCGTTGCCATAGTAACGACGACCATCTAGGCTGAGGCGCGACCCCGCCACAGCCCTGAAGAGGCGGTGGGTTTAGTTTAGAAGCTGGTTTAGAAGTAGGAAGCGGGCACGGGTCGTTTGGGACTCGTGATGCGCACGCACCAAGTGTACGCATGGTGTACGCTCAATGTACACGCATGCACGCTATGTATGGTGAGGACTCCAAACCCCGTCCGCCAAAACGGTGATTCTGGTCAACAGATAACTGTCTCCAATATTTTAGCCCCACTGGATTTTCGAAGATAATTTTCCGCACCACACGAATCTATCGGAAAGCTTAGTATATTATTTCCGGCGCCAGTCGTAAACGCTCCTTTTTTGGTCCCTCGTTCTGTCCCAACATCGCACATGCCCTGCACGCCGCTCGCCCTCCCCCCCCCCCCCCCACCCTCCTCCCCCGGGAAGCCTGGCCAACTTCAGCCCGTACGTAAACGGAACGCCCGCCGACAGCGACCCTAACGCAAGTGACCCCGCTGACCCCGGCTGAGGGACCGCCGACCATGTGACCCCGCTGATCCCAGCTGAGGAACCGCCGACCATGTGACCCCGCTGTGACCCCGGAAGACAGGTGGCTGAACTTGGGCGCAGCCGACACCTGTGCAAACAATGGACGCCGCGCCGAACGCCACAGCTTACAATGCTGGCGACAGTTCGAGCCGGGGAACGGCCCCACGACGACCCAAGAGGTGGAGTGGTTCGCGCGGGTTATCCGTGACTTGAGGTGTGTGCATGCTGGGTTAGTGCATAATGACGTATACTTCATTTCAATGTACGCACATCGCATGGGATGCCACTGTATATCCCATCACCCAAGATAGGAGGCTGCAAAAACAGGTGACTGTCTCCAACCCTTCCGCCAGGCTGAACTATGACACATGATTTCTCGCACCGCGCCTTGCTAGAGTACAGCCATCAGCCGACGAAGCTGAGTCACTCGAAATGGCTGCCTAGTCAGCTCCCTTCGCTCTCTCCCGACGCACGCACGCACGCACGCACGCACGCACGCACGCGCACACACACACACAGATAGGGAGGGCGCAGTCTCACCTTGGCCTCTGGCTTGGCCACTGAGAGCACGTCGTTGAGCGTGGAGCCGACCACCATGACCTTGGCACCGCTGGCCACGCCCAGCTCGCGCAGCGTCTTGTCGTCCCGGGCCAGGCCCTTGATCATCACCTTCTGCATGCTGGGTGGCACATCTGGTGGCAGGTCACGTGAGAGGTCAGCTACACAGGTCACATACAGGTCGGCTGCACAGGTCACATACAGATCACCTGCACAGGTCAAAGTGAGGTCAGTTGCACATGTCATGTACAGGTCAGCTGCATAGGTCACATAATAAGTCAGCTGCACAGGTCACATACAGATCAACTGCACAGGTCAAAGTGAGGTCACCTGCACATGTCATGTACAGGTCAGCTGCATAGGTCACATGCAGTTCAGCTGCACCAGGTCACAGACACATATCCTGCAAGAAACACAGGTCAGTTGACAGGTCATGACAGGTCAGCTGTACAGGTTACACATGGCATAGACAATTCAGCTGCACAGGTCACAGACACATATCCTGCACAGGTCACATACAGTTCAGCTGCACGCGTCACAGACACGTCTGCCGCACAGGAACACACCACTCAGTTGAACAGGTCACAAACAGGTCAGCTGTACAGGCCACACAGGTCACAGACAGGTCAGCTGGACAGGGCAAGCATAGGCTACAGACCAGTCAGCAGTACAGGTCCCCAAACAGGTTAACCAATGCCAGCTTCACGAACTCTTAAAACAGTCTACGGCCCACAGCCGCCCAACTGCAAGGTCGAGGGATCTCACGGTCACTTTCGCATTTAGTGGCATCGATATTCCGTGCTTGGGTTCATGCTCCCAGACTAGTTCTGATTTCAGCCATATTTGCCAGATGTCCCGGTTTTCCCCAATTACATGCACGTGACTTGGGGCGAAACACCTCGTTTACAGTTGGATTGAGCCGGCACCCCGAGCCAACACTTAGCGAGGGGCAGCAGCTGGCCGGCACCGCAGACCGAGGCACGGCGGCCAAACGGCGCCGGTCTACCTGAGCGCCCCCCCCCCCCCTCCTACATCTGAGCCAGCCCCCCCCCCC